GAGGGGAGGGAGAGGGAGAGGGAGAAGGGACTTGAAATAAGCTTGTTCCCTAACTAGAACTAATAAAATAATAATAATAAAAAAAGTCCCCATCTCTGCTCTGATGCTCTCAGATTACAGCAAATGAAAAACAACTAGCAGTAACAGATGGGGAAGGCAGGCCAGATACTGGGGCCTGTGAGATGGTGAGCCAAGGGGAGTGTTGGCCAGAGCCTCCCCAAAAGATTCAGGTGAAAGAAGATTATTGTGTGCAGGGTTTCTCACACTGTCCTATTCTTGGATCCTTTTCTCTACCACAAAATTCTAAACACAACTGAACTTTCAAGGCAGGAAACAGAAACAACTACTAGCCTGATGTCATAATCCAGCTGGCACTTTTTCTTGGCTGAAACAGCATTTATTTTTCAGGTTTACATGTTCTCAAACAGTTTGTTACAATCTCCCTCACTCCCTAGTGTCTTACTGGAGGCTCTTAGTCATTCATTTACATTTACTACCAGATCCCAGTAAATTTTGAGTTTTTTGACACCCCCCCCCATTTTATTTCTGGTAAATTAGCAACCCCTTACAAGAATGTAAACGCTAAACATGGTTATTTACATCACTGTGAATGAGTGTTCTCAAAGGTCTTTCATAAAACAAAAATTTTTGAGGCGAATGGTGTTAAGTGTAGCAGGATGAGCGGTGTGGGAAAACGCTCAGCATGCTAAGTCAGTCTCAAGCAAAGCCTCCAGGGTCAGCCCCTGAGGCTCACTCTGTGTTCTTGGTGACCTGACTCCTTTCCCAACCCTTTAAAGATCAAGCTCATTTGATCAAGTTCTGATGGAATAACATCAATGCATGTTCCTCCCCCACCCTTATGTCTGCCTAAAACCCAGTTCCCTCATACTTACAGGGATGTATTTGCCACCTTTGCACTCCTTCAGAAGACTGATAGGCTCCTCTTTACCTACAACACCTGGCTCTGTGTTCACTGACAAAGGAAGTAAATCCACAAATGACCATGCTTTTAGCAGCTTACATCTAGTTCTTACACTGTAATGGAATGCCTGAGAAGGCCTTAGTCAGCTAAAAGACTTTTGATTTTGTCATTTTCATCAAAACTATGATTTTTTACTATAAATTTTTATGTATCCTTTCTGTTGTTCCACTACCCACCCCCCAACATGTACTCAAGAGAGCACAACAGGGGTCTGCAGCTGACACCTTACCCAGCTTTGCTTTTCCGTCTCCAGCAGGGCCAGCCTCCTTGACCTAATTAGATTTCTTCACCTCCACATGGCTGGTAAATACTATAATTAATTTATAAAGGACTCTGAAACACCAGCTGGCAGATAAATTCCACCAATGATTCCTACAGAATGAGGAAGAGCAGTTAAGTTGAAGAGTCATGAAGTGTGTGTGCATATATGTGCGTTCCCGTCTCCCATCCACTGACCTTCTGAAACATCAACTATAAATTATACCAAATACACAGTTTAATCATTTCTTACAGCACGTTTATTTTAAATTGTAAGGAAAACTCTGTGTGGCAAAATATGCCCAGAGATGTACCTTTGAACTCTGTAAGACATGTGTGTCAATGTTAATTCACACTGGAAATTCATACTTTCTAAGTACGCTAATGAACTAGTGGCTGTTCTCAAGAGAATGTCAAAGAAAACAAGTGGACATTCTGTTTAAGATGGATTTCATGTGCTGGCAGCAGTTACCCAGTCAAAAACCATGGTTGGTTAGACCTAAAACTGGCCCCTAAGATTCCTGATGTGCTTGGGACTGTATCGGGATACCCCTCCTTTTATTAGGATATGTAATATAACAAAAGCAGTAGAATCATTTTGCCTATGGTGTCACATTGAATATAAGACTCTAGCAACGATAATAGCTGTTGTAAGCAGCTGTAACAGCAGCAGCAGCAGAATTGGGAGAAGCTCTCCTGTTGGCTTCGGAGCAATAAGCTCCATGCTTTCAGAGGGCCACATGATGTGAATCTGAGGTCCGGCTCTAGGAGCTTCGAGAGAGCCCTGGCCAATAGCTGCAAAAAAAAAAAAAAAAAAAAAAAAAAAAGAAAAGAAAAAAAGAAAAAAAGAAAAAGAAAAAAAGGAAAAAAAAAGAAAAGAAAAGAAAAAGATGAACTCAATACTCAAGGACTGAGTTCTATAAAACCAAAAACCAGAATAGCTCAAAAGGAAACTCTAAGCTTCAGTTGGGATTGCAACTACAAATCCACACTGTTGTGTAATATTTTGATTGCATTCTGACAATAAAGTTTGTTTTTAATCAGAGGGCGGAGCTAGCCACTAGCTGACCAAAATTGAGCATAGATTTTTGAGGACTGAGGATGTAGTTAGGGTGGGGCTGAGAGAGGATCTCCACCCTTTTTGAGGGAGGAACGGAAGAGATAAGAGGTCACTGGTGGCTGCTCTGCTGTTTCTCTGATCTTACTCCAATATCTGACTCCCAATTTTTTACTGATAAAGAATAATTAGATAAATGCATCACCTGGAGCCCAACATGGGGCACGAAAGCACGAGATCACAGCTCGTCCCTGGTTCTACAGTCAACGCAGCTGGCTTGATATCTGCATGGAGAGACATTGAGCAGAAAAGCCAACTAAGCTCCTCCCAGCCTTCTCAGTCACAGAAGCTGTGAGAGTATAACTTTTGTGCTGTTAATTTTGTGTTAAGTTGCTATTCAGCACACATAAATAAATAAATAAATAAATAAATAAATATATAAATAAACAAACAAGCTACCTTTGTGATTTTTCCCAAATGGCACCACCCAGTAGTCGTCATGGCCCTGAATGCCTGGCATAACCATCTAGGTCACAGGTGCACATAGAGACAAACCAGAGCAACTGGAACCTTTGGAAATATAAAGTTACAGGAAGGACATTGCATGGGGTCTGAATGAAAGAGGAGTGCAGTCTGCTTAACAGAAGTACCTTACCCATCAATGCTGTGAGGATATCCAAAACATTTGGAGGTGACTAGGGAGGAGATCTCTCTAAAGACAGTTTGATTATAAAAGTAATTACAAGTTATGGGCCCACATGAGGTGAAGCAATTTACTGATAAATATTTGGGGTAAGGGAAATGTGTTGCATGGCTATTCTATTTATCGTTGACGCACACAAAAATTTTCACCATTCCCAGGAGGGACCTGTTTGTGTTTTCTGTCACAAACCCCATTCCTGGCTAATTTCATAACTCTCAAAGGTCTTTATGAAAGACCTTTGAGAACACCCTGCTGGTGACGCTGCTATTCGCATGGCACACTCTTTGCAGTCTTTTTTTGGTTAAACAGCATAGATGCTTTGCCTCTTGGACTCTGATGACATCTGTTCAGGGCCTATTGTCACTGCTCATATCCCACAATAGCCACTGTGCAGTCTGTGAGCCACTTTCCAAGGCCTTCAAAACACTGCCACTGTATTTGTGGGAGAGATCCACAAACTGTCACCCAGAGAAAGCACAAACACATAAGTAATTGTTGTCGTGTGGTAGCATGTATAGAATGTGTAGCATTTACATTTCCAAGGCAACCCATCTTCCACCACATCTTCTTCTGACCCTCCGGGGCCTTAATCATGGCAACTCTGGAATCTGAACACTACAATGCCAACCGGAACCCTGCCTCTCCCCATAGTTACCACAGTAACAACAGCAATAACAACAACAACAACAAAAAACAGGTGGGGGATCCTAAGCAGGTCAAGGTGCACTCTCTTATGGGGGTAAGCAATGCCCATCATTTGAGCAAGACTTTTAACCACCCAGGAGGGTAGAGAGACACTGTGTCAATTAAAAGCAAAAAAAAAAAAAAAAAAAAAAAAAAAAAAAAAAAAAAAAAAGATATGACTGAAAGGGGGAGAGTTCACACACAACTTCACAAAGTTGACTTCAGGTCCAAAGATCAGCAGTGTGTAGTGGGAAGGCCATTATACACTTTTTAATATGTCACTTTTAAATCAGTCACTTGGCACCATTTCAGTGATCCAAACTTATATGATCCCATTTAAAAAAAAAAAATACTGTTCTGGTCAGTGGGAACATTAACCAAGCCTCCCTCCAGGGACTAGCATGGCCATGCACCCCTAGTTCATCTCACAGAATCTAGCCCCAGAGCTCTTATGGAACATGTGTTGAACCCATACACAACAAGAAAGCATCCTGAGAACCTCAAAACCTAAGTTCCCCATCACTACCACCAAGAGGGTAATGAAAGACACCAGGGTTTCTATTACCTAGGACCCACGCAGGACTAGGTTTAGAGTGGCCCAAGACACAAGAGACTGTAATCTCTCCAAGGAAGGTTTTCCAAAGCACAGCTGGGGCCACATCAAACTAAGACCCTGCTTGCTTGGGTCTAGTGTCTCCAAGTGTCTAGTGAACTAAGGATGGAAGCAGTTGTCTATAGCCTCTGAACATCTTGTGAATTAAACATGGAAGAAATTGGTCTATAGCCTCCAAGTGTCTTGTGAACTAAGGATGGAAGCAGTTGGTCTTAAATAAATGTACTGCTCAAGCACAGGAGCTTCTTTTAGCCCTTTTCCAGACCTGAGCTAGGCTCCTGTCCCAAAATTCCAGGAGACCAATCTTCACAACACACCGCTCCATTCCCCTCCCCCCCCCCTTTTTTGTCTGTTTTGGTTTGGCTTTGGAGGAAAGGGGAGTTAAGATGTATATTCTGAAGTTGGTTCTTAGCAAGTAGAGAGAGCCCTATCAGAGTAGCTGAAGACAGATTTTTTTTTTTAATATATAATTTCAGAAACTCAAATCTGTCTAGCATACCTGATTAACCTCTTAGGGACAAAGATGTGCTTGTCTGCATGGTTATTTATCCATCCATAAATACAGCTTTGTGTACAATAATAACTTGCATGGGTAATTCACTTTGAATGTTCACCATGACAGGTTAAATGTACCCAAGAGATGGGACAAAATTACTAATCAAAGGATTAGAATAAAAATAATAGGTAGTTGGGTTTTTCTTTGTTGCTAACAGAAATTCACTCTCTCCTCTAGGCATGTTCCTCCCCAAAAAGCTACCTATGGTTTTTGATCTCACCTGTTGAGGTTACTGGCAGACATACTCATACACTGTGCTTATTCTATCCCAGACTCACTGTAAAGGACTTTCCTGTTGTGAAATAATCTTTTTGTACACTGTGAAGATGTGTCATTCTGCTTGGTTTCATAAAACGCTAAATGGCAAATATCTAGGCAGGATTTTCAGGTATACAGGACACTAGGAAGATGAAACGGGGAATCATCAGCCAGATGGAGATGAAGCAGCATGGGCACAGTACAAAGTAATGGTAATAAAGCCATGAGACAAAAAGTAGACTGACAAAAATGGGTTAATTTATGTGGTAAGAGCTAGTTAGTAACAAGCCTAAATATCAGCTGAGCTTTTATAATCAATAAGTCTCTGTGGTCGTGACTTGGGAGCTGACAGGAGGGACAGAAAAATCTGCCTCCACTTTGTTGCTGATTTGACTCCCCCAGAAGCTTCACCAGCTAGTTTATTACAGTAACTGCATGTCATTTTACTAGCTCCAGTCACTATCTCCAATAATTCTGAACTTATTAAACCTACATAAATGGAATGATATAGACTTTTCCATTTTGTGTCTGGATTTCTCAGTCAGTATTGAGTTTGTGGGTGACATTCACAGCGTTCAATGTGGCTTCAATGCCACTCTTACTGTTGCAGATTGTACTCCACTAAAAAACTATGTGATTATTTCTTTACTTTGGCTACCATTGATAAAAGTCAAGAAGCCTCCAACTGGGAGCATCATGAGTAATGAAGTTATGGACACTGTTATACACATCTTCAGTAGAAACACTTGTAGGGCTTAGTGAATACCCTTAGGAGTTTCAAGGTCATGGTGTTTGCATTGGTTCAGATTTAGTAGAGTCTGACAGGTATTTTCCAGAGGGGGCAAAATGTTACTTGACTTGCTCTGGGGTTACATAAAGATGACTGGATTGAAAATGCCATATGGCAAACCTATTGTAAGCTGAAAACACACTGAATATACCTGACTGACTGAGCACCATAGCTTGTGACACTGTACACTGTAGGGTGTAAGTCCTTCACCCTCATGTTATCTCACTGTTACTACCCAGAATCTCAAGTATACCAAATATCATTCCAGTAAGAAAAGTTCACAGTTCAATCTGTGAAGTCTCCTAGGTATCACATTTGCACTATGATGAAAACAAAATAGTGTAAGTCAAGCCAATAGAAGGGACACACTGCCTACAATCCATGAGCACTCTAGTAATCCTCTAACTCCTGAGATCCTCTGAGCTTTTCTTTCATCACTTTGATGGGTGGGTATCACCACATTATGGTTTTAATTTGTAATTCTCTGGCTTGCAGCAACAGAGGATGGGGCAGGTTCACTCTCAATTCTCTTTCCCATTGAACACTAGGAAAATTGGATAAGACACACAAAGCCCTTCCTTATCTGTGGGCGCCAAGAAGGAAATGAAAATGGGCAAACTGCAGCAGAGGCCAAAACTTAGTGGTATGGGTTTGTTGATGGTTGCTTCATTTTGTGTTGCCATTTTTCTCTTGTAGCTGGCTCCCCAGCTAGTAAATCTGTAGTAACAGTTCAACCGATAGTAATTCATTTTAAACATTTTTTTTTCTAGCCAAATGAACTGGGGAAAGATACATCTGTGAGCTACCAGTTTGTAAGGAAAGACTAAATGGTTTCACAGTTCTCCTGCCACCCAAAGAGCAAGAGAATGGGAGAAATTATATTTGCATATAACAGCAAGGAAAGGAAGTCTTTGTGTGTGGGGGGGGGAATCCCACACCTTTCTATTTTACCTCACCACTTCACCCTATGTTAGTGCCTTAGTCAAATGCTTTTACAGGGTGCCAAAATTTCAAGGGAAACCTCATATTTATCACAAAAAGGATCAGAAAAAGTAACACTGCAAGACAGAGTGAGAGGAATCTAAGCCATAAAAAAAAAAGAGGGGGTGTCCTCCAAATCCAGTACAAACCCACTCAAGTACTGTGCTCACATCTCGACTGAGTGTGTGCAGAACAGATCAAAGCAGGATAGAGATGATTCATGTAATAAACTACAATTAAAAGTACTGCTAAGGCACCAAAATTCAAGTATTTACATTCAGGACAGACTCAAGACAGCGGCACATGAGGGGCTGAAGAGACTGCTCTTCCAGAGAACTCAGGTTTGATCCCCAGCCCCCACAAGGTGGCTCACAACCACCTGTAACTCCAGTACCAAGGGATCCACACCTACTCCTGACCTGAGGGACCCAACATGCATGTGATGCACAAACATACATTCGGACAAAACAGTCATACACATAAAAACATTTTTTAAGGCACAGCAAATACTCAAGAGGAGCCAACTGATATAGAACCAGTACTCACACGAAAGACTGAGCCTGTGATGCCAACCCAAGGATTGCTTGCTAAAAGAAAATAAAAATTCCATATTACCCAAGATAAAAAATCCAGGAACAAAAAATCAGGGATTATACAATACAAAATAACTGGGAAGATGTGAACAACTATCAAAATAAAATAGAACCAACAGTTTCCAACTGAGATGACCAAGATATTACAATTATCAAAGGTGTTAGACATTAAAACCAAAAGGTAGCCTAACAATTTTTCTCCTGGGTATGAGCTATATGCTAGAAAATCTTTCTCCTGGAAATGGCAGAACTTAAATGCATTAAGAATGTTCACATGTGTGTTGGTCACAATGGGAAAGCATGGGGGTTTGGGGGTCGACTGTAAGAATGTTCACTTGAGCCGGGCGATGGTGGCACAGGCCTTTAATCCTAGCACTTGAGAGGCAGAGGCAGGCAGATCTCTGTGAGTTTAAGATCAGCCTGGTCTACAAGTGTGGTGCCTGCACCACGAGCAAGTCCGAACATCAGGCAAAGCCTGGAGAGTTAGTTAAAAGCAGAGAAGTCCGACTTTATTTCAGGGGGAGAGCAGCCTTATATATACACTTACAGCACAGCGGAGAAACCCCAGGTGTAATTGACTGAGGCAGTGGGCAAGGCCCGGGCTGTAAGCCAGGACTAGAAAACAGGATGCATCTGTGGTTATTGGCTGACAAGCAACTCACTGAGATCCCTCAGGGCTGGGACCCAACATACAAGAGCTAGTTCCAGGACAGGCTCTAAAGCTACACAGGGAAACCCTGTCTCGAAAAACCAAAAAAGAAAAAAAAAAAAAAGTGCTCACATGGCTGTCGATCACAGCAACCAAGTGTGGGGTTGGGCAAGAGAGGATTAGTAGCACTGTGTGTCATTGAAATAAAGGTCAGCTACCTGCCAACCTGGAGAGCATGCTGAACTAAAAACAACCCCCTGTCACAAATTATCCCTATTTGTCACAAATTATCCCTATTTCCGCAGTTAAAAAAAAAGCATAGGCTGAATGAACTAAATCTCTTTTTTTAAGGCAAGAGAACAAAAAATCCACAGTCAGTTAAGTCTGGAGAGAGGCAGTGGGTGCTGGAATCAGAAGACTGGTCAATGTGTCACCGCCGACCAAGCCCTATTTCTAAAATCTTTGGGTGGCTCCCTGGTGCGCAAGGCTCATCCCTTACGCACCACTGCCTATCTAAAAGGCTAATTTTAAAAAATCATCCCAGCGAAGGCGGCTGTCTTCCTCTAATCAACACGACTTCTCTCCCCAAGCACTAGGCAGCCTGCCCGGGAGCCGACGGGGAGACCCCGCGCTCCCCCGGGAGGAAAGCGGGGCGT